CCCGAAGTGACACGAATACTTTCGGGTCAAATGGGTCAGGTCGGGTCAGAACGGTTTACCCGACCCGACCTGACCTGAAAAAAAATTTTCGGTTCAGGTTAACCAGGTAACCCGACCCGACCCGACCCGTGCGGAGCTCTACATCTAACAAACCAAATTTAAATTACATTTTAGGAATTTATCTCACATTCGTTTTTTCTCTAAATAGACAATTCCACAAGGATGATGTGAATAAATATTTTAACCGTTTACGCCATTTATTAAAAGAAAAACTCCTTGCACTACGACACCGATTAGAATCAACTGATAACAACGAAAGAAAAACTAAAACATTTATCCGGTTCAGCTGCGGCCCCCACGTGATTTACTTGGGTTTTTATTTCCCTTGCGGCACAATACATTTCAAACCTGGTGAAAATACGGGTTCACTATGTATCCACCCTCCCGCCTTCGTACAATCAAAAAATCATTGGCGTTGTGGAGCTCATCTCAAACACATCTGACAGGTCTCACACACTACTACTCGTCATCCAGTAGAGCCTAGATTCTATGCTGAACAGCTTAGACTTACGGTAAACCGACATAACAAGGATAAAAGACACCATAAAGAAATTCACTCTAATCGCCTTGGCATTAGCTACGTCGTTCAATTTAAACGATTTCGCTCACAAGATTTAGATTTACCTAGCGTTAACAACAAAACGGTTTGACCATACTACAAACAATACCGCACGTTACGTTTCGATGTGGTCCATTCACCTCAACAGAAGGCACGATGGAATAGACTTACTACGTCTACACTTAAACAAAATCACTTCAATCGCACTATCACACCTCACTTACTTCCAAACTCACCTGGACAAAGGGTTTTTAAAACCATTCAACATCTTCCGTACCATTATAAAGGATACACTCCTACAAAATATTCTGACATATATAAAAATTCATCTAATGGTTTTATGTACTTTAACCGACAACGTGAACGCCAAAGGATTAAGAATTGGATCCGTCGTACTAAAAAACGCAACCGTCTCAAGAAACAATTACCTCCACTACCTGCCGGTTTCGTTGGGGACCAGCGTATATATTACCACGATACGTATAACATCAACCTGTTTGATTATAATATTCGACGACGCTATAACGTCAGTTCGATCCCTCAATACAATTACGGTTATTCCAAAGCGGTTGAGCTATACCGTCAACATCATGATAAATACGTCACGATGAATTTTATACAACCACCTCCTAACGTTTCCTACCATATTAAAAAGAATGATCATTATATTTTTAATGATCCAAACATTTTTTTCCGGCACACACCTCCTCCGGATAAGGACTCGCACACTACCATGAGCGACATTTCTTACGTTTCGGCTAGTGAAGGACCTTCCGTTGTGGAATTTCCGCCTACGCCGTCACATGATTAACTCACTTGATTGAGTTTAATAACACCGGACCTTCAATATGCATCATTCCACACCTGACAGTATTTACGTGTGGTGTCATTATGACAAAAGAAAAATACGGATTCTAGTGATCGAATTGAACTAACCCTTTTGTAACATTCCTCTCCCTTAGGTTTAGGTTCCATTTTCTTTTTTTTCGTTCTTTGATTACTGTTTTGTTTAGACACCCGGTTATGCCTGATTGTTCTATTGAATAGTGGGCAAGACGACCCCTTCGGGCTCCTCCCGAGAGGTTGGGTTTAACATTAGCTTAGAATTTATTGTTCTTTTAGATCATGTTTATTCCTATTTAGTGTTCGACCCCAGTCGTGTCCGTATTTTAAAAATAAAAATAAAATAAAAAAAGGAAGATGCGACATATTGCAGGTGAAAAAAAAACATATTCCTATAAAATTATAAAAAATTTTATTAAAAAAAATATTAAATAAGTTTATTATATATTGTTTTCTTTTCATTAAAAATATGTTTAATATATCACTTAAATACAAATATTGAGTTATTAATAAAATCAGTAATAATTATTTTGTATAATAAAAAAATTAAAAAGCTTATTAAAAAAAATTAAAATGTTTATTAAGAAAAATTAAAAAGTTTATAAAAAAAGTTTATTAAAAAAAATATAAAAATTATTAAAAATTTATTAAAAAGAATATTATATAAGTTTTATATTATCATATATTGCTTTCTCTTCATTAAAAATATTAATATATCGCTTAAATACAGATATTGGAAAATGCTAGCCATTAGTAAAATTGATAATTATTTTGTATAATTGAAAATAGACAAAAATCTGCCTATTTGCAGTAATATTAAAATACATGAGCTGATATTATTTAAATAGCGGGAGTTGGTATTAAAAAAATACCAATCTGTCCACATCAGCGCGCCATATATTTTGAAATATTTTATATAATAATATATACTAAAATTTTACATACTCTTTTATAACCTTTAAAAGTGATCATATATTAAATTTTATTAAAATTGGATGATTATTGAAATACTTTTACTATTAACAACTTTTTAAAATTTGTCAAATTATAAAATTTAATAAATATTGTAAATATATAAAATATTATTTTACTATAATATGTAATTTGCAAATAAAATTGTATTTACACAAAAAAATTGGTAATTATTTATGTAAACTTTATAAGTTTAATATTGGTTAATTTTTGCAAAAATCATAAATTTTGAATTTACCATAAATTTTATTAAGAAACCTGCTTTTTATTTCTTAAGTAACCTGATTCCTCATAAAAAATTACATATATTTATATATTTAAAAATAATACTTATCTTTTACTAATAAGTTGCATCTGGAGGTTGAAATTATAAAAGTTAGCTTAATATAAATTTTTTATATAAGTATTGTATTAATAAAAAAGGTATTTAAATAAGTAAATTAGACCCCAAAGAACAAAAATATATAAAGTTTTTATAATATACAACTTAAAAAAAATTTTGTTATATAAATTATAAAAAATCATTATTTATTAAGAAAAAATGTATTTGTAACAGCCTGTTACATATCTTATTTGTAACATCCTTTTTTTATTTTTTTTTAATAATAAATTTAATATGTGTTTCACAAATAAATTTTTTATATGCAAAATTTAATTTGGAAAACTTTTACTTAATGTACTTAAGACAGTTTCATAGACAAAATTTAAGTTATAAGCAGTTTCTTGAAATTTTTTAAAAAATTCTTTTGTCTTAATTACATGACTGATCTTTTGTTTTTGTTTACATTACGCCCGATCTTAAATTTTAATTGGATAAAAATTGGGGGTTGTTACAAATAAGACGCGTAACAGGCTGTTACAATTAGATTTATCCATTTATTAATAATTACGAGAGAAATGAAATTTCCACTGGTTGATATATTTAGTGCTAGATAATTTTATGTGATTTATACATTATTTGTATTTTCTGATCTAATAATAAATAATAAAATAATTTATATTTAATTCTTCAAAGTTCATATTTATTGTCAAGTTCATATTCATAAAGATCATCTTTGGCGTTAAATTCATCATATTCATTAGGTTTGTCATCTTCATTAAATTCATCTTCATTAAATTCATTATATTCATTGAATTCGCCATCTTCATTCAACACAAGTATTATTTTTGTCTGGTCTGTCTTCATGGAAGTATTTCAAATATGTTTTTTTCATTTTTTTTCATTTAATAGTTGCAAAGATATCTCTAGTAAATTTAACCATGAATAGTTTCTAATATAAGTATGATGGAGATTGAATGAAGTAGTATAACGATTTTGAAACATTTTATTAAGAGAAAGAAGCGAGCAAAAGAATTAATTTACAGTATATATTTTTGTATAAAAGTACTTTCAACTTTTCTAATTTATCATAAACATTTAAATTTTTCCAAACATCAAAAAAAAACTGGTATAAAGGGATCATTAGAAACTTTCAAAATAGTATTAGATGAATAAAATATGAATCAATGAAAAAATCTCATCGATTTGAAGAATATTAGTTACATTCTTGAAATAAAAATAAAAATAAAAAATAACTTCACACCCTGGTTAATACTTACATAATAGTCAAAGGTCAATCCCTATAAAAAAGACGTTACATTAGTTAAGTTTTTAAAATTAACAAACTAAATTTCCAAAAGATTTTAATACTTGAAAGAATGTTATTCAAGTTTCCTTTCCTTACATGAGATTACTGTTTAAAGAACTAATTTTGAAAATAACCTTTGAAATTGTTATTCATATTACTGGAGTACCGAGATTATTATCACCGTTTTCAAAATGACGTACGCAGTTAAATTTGAATAAAAAAAAGAAAACCGAAAACCGGATGAAAACCGGACGAAATATAGACAAAAAACGGATGAAAACCGGGCGAATATTGATATTCGAATATACAATCACAAATAAACTGCGTACACCAACGCATTCACATAACATATACTGGCATGTTATGAGATCATTAAACGGTTGCTGATTTCCCACAAAAGGACAGAATGATTGACTAAACAAGGTGTGATGTTTTCCTCATGTATGGTTAGAGTATAAATTCAAGACATATCTAATAATTACTTAAAGATTATTATAAGGTTAATTATGAATATTATTTTAATAGATTGATATTTTTTTAGGAACAGAGCAATACTGCATGAAAATCTTTCCTTTTATAGATAATTATCTATAATGTTGGTCAGAATTTTATTACTTATTTTAGTAGTTGACTGAAATTATCATAATTCCGACCCTGAAAAAATGCGTAGAGTTAATATATATTGTTCGGGATGACGGGTCCTAATTATTTATTAACTAAGATGAATAGATTATTATTGGCTTGTTACTTTATATTTATTCAGAATTGGGAACCTAATTCGATTAGATGTACTGTTAGAATTTACCATTTTTTTATAAATTTTTAAAATTATTAAATTTGCAATAATATTACTTAATGTTATGGGCGTAAATAAAACATATTCAAACTTTAAAATTGGAATTCAATATTATAAAAATAATAATATTCACGTTATATAATAATGGTGGATTGTTTTTGGACAAAATAGATAGTGAAAAAAGTACAATCATGAAACGGTGATTAAATTCTATGATTTAATTATTATGATACGCGTTAATTTTATTCATTAAATAATAAAAAAAAAGCTGGAAATTAAAATTTTTAAAAAAAGAATTAAAAAAAAAATATTTTGGTTTGATAAACAAATTAAAATCAAATTTTTTTTTTTGTTTGAAAAAAAAAAACAAAAAGAAATAAAAAACCAATTAGAAAAATTTTAGTCTATAAGAACCAAAAAAAAGGTATTTTTAAAAAAATAGTAAATTTCCTGGTTATAAGAAAAATTTAAAAACTTTTTCATTACATTAAAATTTCATTAACGGAACTGGGTTAAAAGTAACCGGAAAAAAAAATTTCGGTTTAAAAAAATAAAGTGAAAAAAAAATGAAAAAAAAAATCGGAAAAATTAAGTAAAAAATTTTTTAAAAAAACCAACCGAAAAAAGGAAAGTTGGAATCGTCCCGCAAGACGATTAAATAAAAAAAAATCCGATCATAATTTCATTAACGTACGATGACCTAATAGTATATCACGCGTTTCACGTCACATAATTCAATTTATTTTATACGGGAGGGTAATCTAAACGGCAAAGAATTTTTTCAGTTAAAAATATTTGTTTTAAATCTTAAAAAAGCATCAACTTTAAAGTTATGATTTTTTGACTACTCAAATATAAGAGTATTTATGTCAAACTAAATAAAAAAATAGACACCGCAGTATTCCTATTCGACCAATTCATTAATATATTTCATTTCTTAAAATGAAAAGAGAAAAAAAAAATCATTTTTAAAGTTTAGTCATTTTAAAATCAAGCTGAAAAACGTATCTTAATTTACTTAAAATACCATATTTATTTTTCTGGTTAATTTCAGCTATATAGTATAATGAATTTTTTTTTAACAGATATTTTACAAATAATTCGATTAAATTAAACTCTCAATTGTAATTGAACATGGATAAAAAATTTTGAAAATATCTTACCAAAGCTTTTAGTTTAAAATTATTCGACTTAAACGAACGATAAAAAGTATAATATAAATATAGATTGAATGATTAATGAGTTTCATAATGGCGTATAAAATGAATTTGAATTATGATATGACATTTCTTTAAAGGAAATATCGTTAATATATTAAATATTTAAAAATATCTTGTCAATGAAAGAAAGATCAATACGCCACGGCGTATCATGACCTATTATAAAAATAATTATCTAAACGGATAAATATCAAGCAGAAATATTTTACATTATGACTTGATTTTTTATTTTTGTTAATGAATATAATGGTGTTGTAACCGTTGGAAATTAAAAGTTTTAAATTTCTACATTTAAGAGTTTGACGAAATAATTCAATTCAAAATAGGGAGCTTGGTGTTTATAAAATGGTAGAATATTTAATCAGGTTCTAGTCGATAACAACATTACTTTAACGTGCACTTTATTTATTTCCTGTAATAGTTTCTTAACTTTAAGGTTTCATTGTATTCCTGATAAACTGTATAAACCATATAATTATCTCCAGTTGGGAGAACCTCATGATTGCCAATAACTGTATCACGAAAATTTATTACGTGTATTTTATTGGACCGATATAGTATATCATATTACTTAGTAATTTAAGAAGGTTTTATTTAATATTTGTAATAATAAATTCATTTCAAATCTTTATTAGGATTTTAATTGTTATATGGGATACTTAAGCTATAATATAGCTTGTGTTACTATTATATAGTGTTTATTAATCAATAAACAATTTTTAATCATTATATGTTCATTTAAAATTACTTTTTTTTATTTCACAAATTAAATTAATATGAACTTCGAACTTAACTGTTAATAAAAAAATTATAAATATAAGAATGTAACAAAAACATCATATGTAAATATATAATTATTTAGATATAATTAAAGAATTTTAAAATCTTACAAGACACACACACAAATCAAATTTTTTTCAATAATTAATATTATTTTAATTATTTCAAAATCCATCTTAAAAATCATTACAAGATAAAAACAATAACATTTATTAACCATTTAAGAATCAACAATTTATTAATATATTTTTATTATCATAAGTCTTTCGCTCGTATCACGCACATTAAATAAATAACAAATTTACTTTAGTATATAAATAATAACAGTAAATATATATACTGTATATTTTTTTTTCAAAAAAAAAAAAAAATGTTATTAACAAATGTTATCCAAATAAACCAAGTTATAAATAACGATAATGGAAAATTAATGATGCAGTATACTTTTAACTTTATTAAGTTTAATAAATACAACTTCGATTTTTATATGCTTTCCTTGTTATGGCCAAAAATGTAACATAAAATAAATTTAAATTAATAAAATTTAAAATCAAAAAATCAAACTCGAAAATTAATTCCTAATATACATACAGCACAACAAAATATTTAATGAAATCCGCTTTTTATAGTATTCCGTAATATTTTAATTTCGTAAAGCCATATACTGTAACTAGTAGCGGTATATAAAATTTATAGAGATTTATAAATTTTTATGGTTTGATTGATAAATTTACAACTAAAAAAAATTTGAATTTTTATTACTAAAAAATTTATATATACATATATACAACAAAAATGTTTTCATTTACAATTCTATGCCAAATTAAACCAAATGATTAGATGGTTTAGCATATTATACATTAAAACCTGGAAAGTTTAAGATCTTTTTCAATTGTAGAGTATTAATACTATTTCTATTATTTATTATTGAATATAGATACTCATCAAAAAATGCAATCCAAAACATTAAATATTTTCATAACTTCTAATTATAATAAAATTTTACCTATAAACAAAAAAAAAATTATTCTTCAAATTTAGAAAGATTTCTTGTTAAGTCAAGTTATTTATTGCCTAAGGTAAAATAAAAAAATATGATTAGAAGACTCGAGTACTCTAAGTAAGCTTTGTAGAAAAGACAGATTCAAGCCCCCATGCCTACTATCAATTGACATTAACGATATATCGTGAGTGATCAAACTCGTGCAGAGGTACTGTCATATTTATAATAAGACATTAGACCCACCACCAAAGGGAAGGGCCCCACATACAGAAGTCTGCGACATAGCTTGAGATATTATTATTTTCTCATTTAAGGTAACCAAACTTCTAGAAGAGGAGGATAACCAAAGCACTCTAGGTGCACAAATTCCTTATACATCCCAGCTTAGCCATTTCCACTTACCAAAATAATAAAAACCCAAGATACTGTATTTATCATGTTTAAGTAGAAAACTTCAAAAGCTTTTTTTATGATAAAGGATAAGAACAAAAGTCTTATATGTATTTAAATAAGTTTGTGAAAATTATACTATAATAAATATTAAAAGAAAATGATGAAAGAAATAGTAAATATTGTATTAAAAAGAAGACAAGAGTAAAAAATTTTCAAAAACTAAAAAGTCCAATGAGACTTTATAGATAATTTTTCATGGGAAAATCATTAAAATCATATACTATGAATCATTGTGATTAGTATGATGTAAGATTGTTTACGCGTTATACCCATGACGCCCATTACGCGTATGTTGATCACGTTGGTTAATATTTAGTTAAAGTTGAACTTAATTATAAAAATGAAAATTAAAAAGGTAATAAATGAACTCACTTCAGAATAGAGTAAATATACATTTTTAATAATACATATTACATACTCTAAATTTCGATCAGCGGGTTGTCATAGTTTTAAAATAACGAAAAATATTTTCACTTAATATATTAACTGAATAAAAATCTCACCCTTTTTGTGATCTCTCGAGTTAACAAGGTTGTTATGTGTGATTAGCTTTATCTAGAATGCTGGTTTTATTATTAGAATACAGTTAGTAACTTTCGTTCAAAAAAATTCTTAGATAAGAGTTAGGTATCAATTCTTTAATGTTATGAGATATTATTTACATTATTCTGGTAACTTAATTTCTCATTCCACGGATACCCAATAAATATATTATCCACTAAAATGAAAAAAATCAATAAACGAGAATTATGAACTTTGCTTAATCTCGTAATTTTTTGCACGTGATTATCTATCAATTTTATTAATCATATGACAGAAAATCTTCGTTCATCTATTTCACAGTCGGTCTCTTATTTAATAAATGAAAAACTAATTCAATAAGTATTTTTAAAATTTTATACTTAAGATGTTTAAAAGTTTTACTTTTATTGCTTTTATTGCAACTTTTATCATAAAAGCACTAATTACAAATATAATGATTATTATATGATAAAGTAATTAATTCATTGAGGAAAATAAGAACAGAGTTTCCAATAGTATATCTAATATTGTGAAAATTTAATATGTCTCATAAATTTTACAACAAAAAGGATAACATTACTAGCCTATTCTGCACGTTATCTAACTGTTTGTAGCAAAATCGCATAAAATTTTTTACCAAAATTCTTTAAGATTAAATCTTTTTTATTCAAGTATTTATAATATCATTTGAAATTTTTGCCATAAGACTATGAGGTTAGATTTTATTGTACAAGGATTAGACGTATTAGACATCAATATTGTACAAATCTTTGAAATGTTGAGCATATGAGAAAAGTCGACGACAATAATTTTATTATAGTCAAATGACATGATTATGCAAATTCACCGATATGAAATTGCAATTATTTATTAAATCGATTGATCCTTAATATATTTGTTTCAGATGTTAGTATAATTTCATCATGTGCATTAATCGTCGCAACCTATTGGTCTGTCAACATCTGACGCAAATCAATAAGTTGACGCATAACGTGGCGCACAACAATTCATTCATTATTTATTCATAGGGATTCAAATTTTATATTAAGAAAATTCTTGTAGTTATCGAACTATAATCATTTGATGATTTAACTTTTATAGCTATATTATTACTTTGTTTTTAAAATTTAATTGAAATAAAATAACTGCATGATGGATGATTTTATCTTGCTTAAAAAAATTTTCATTTATTTTGATTACATAATTTTTATTCGTTGCATACATATAAAATACAAAAAAATAAAATAAAAAATAAAATAAAAAAGATAATCACGTTTTAAAAAATAATAATAATAAAAATAAAAATAATAACAAGATTTTTTCTTTCAACTCCCATCGTCAGAGTAGTATATATAATGAGTAAAAGAATTTTTTATCGTAACTTGGAAAATATTAGGAGATTCAACGCGAGGTTCAGATTTTTATAAGGGATGACGAAAATATAAAAATATTGGCCCAAATTGGTCTCATCTGAGATGCAATGGGCATCATTTCGTCCGTAAGCTATTTCCTTTGGCCCTTTCCTTAGCGGAGGCGATAGAGTTATAGTCTTTTCTCTTATTTTTTCTTTGGTAGAATTACCTCGAATTTTAATAAAATAAAAAAATCAACAATGATTCTCCAATGATTTTAATTCGTAATTTAAATAATCTTTGTAGCCTCTCGTTACAATGTCGGTATTATAGCACAAGAGTGGATCCACCTTATTTCCACGCGTGAAAAACAACTATTAAAAATCGTTCGTTAAAATAAAACAATTAAAAAAAAAGACAAACTTACCGAAGTTCGCATCTAAGGAGAGATAATTAAGATTTTTTCAACAAAAAGTGCAATAGAAGCGGGGAAAAGAGAAAGAAAAGAAAAGGGAAATGTAAAAGTAAAGGGAAAATGAGAGGGAAGGAAGAGTAAAGAAAGGAGGAGAGACAAAAGTTACGAAGGGAAGTGAAAGGGAGAACGAAGGAAAAGGGAAGAATGAAAAAAAAAGTTTATCGAACATTCGAACTGCGGATTATATCACGTGATACACGTGATACATAAATTTTATCGATTCATCAATAGACAAGGATATATAACAGAGATAATGAGGTAGTTGGGTTGAACCTCGATATAAAAATATCGGATAACAAAAAAATGTCTATTACTATTAAGAGAAAAAATTTAGTTAATCCTTTTTAGTCAGTTGTTCTTTTATTATCTCCTCTCTTAGTTTTTTCATATTTTCTAATTGCCCAGTTATCTCGTCTTTTAGAATCTCTATTTCAATTATTTCATTCTTTAAGTTGCTTAATACTTTTGTTGGATCAGGTTGTTCACTTATTTCAATTTCAACGTTTTGTTTGCATGTATCCGCTAGTTCTTTTATTAGATTCTCTATTTCATTAATTTTTGTATTTCTTAGTTTGGGTATCTTTTCTGTTAATTCTTTTGTTAGATTCTTTATTTTAATTTCAATTCTTTCTTCCTCCTCTGCTTCAATTTCATTTTTTAGCTCCTCTGTTACTTCATTACCTGTTAGTTCAGTTTGTACTTTCGTCTCATCTGTCCGTTTTTTTACTTCAATCATTTTTTTTTTTATTTTACTTGTTAGTTTTTCTACCTCTTCTGTTAGTTTTTCTATACTTTTTATCTGGCTTTCATTATTATACTTGAAATTTAGATAAGTGGAAATTGCTGTGTTGATTTCTTCAGGTTTATCACCAAAATGGTTAGCTAATCTAGTAAAAGATATACTGGTAATTCCAAATGCTATTTTTGTAGTTCTAGGGTTGTCGCTAAGTAAATATCCCGATACAATCGCTGGATAAACGGTTAGCGAAATCATATGGAGCCATTTTAAAACTTGCAAAACTCTCAGCAAAACTTTAGTATTCTTTCTATTCATAACGCGATGCGAACTAAGATGAAATAATAGTACTATGATACTATACAAAAGTATTATAGAAACCATTATCTTCAGAGTTTTACATTTGCTAAATCCAATGTTTATAATACAATAATCAGTAGTAATTAACGAAAGATTGAAATACCCAAAATATAATGATAAAACAAGTGAAACAATGAAGAAGTAAGTTGAGGATATGGGGTTACATAAACGGTCTAAAATTTTAATATTAAGATTATTAATTTGGCGTCGTGGAAATAAGAACAAGAGGTATGAAAATATTCCAAGAATTGCTGTGATGAGAGTAGCCAATATTCCATATATGTTGGGCTTAACGTTAAAATATTGATACAATTCGAATCCCGTACACATAGGAAATGCGACAATAGATCCAAATATGATTAAATCGTCAAATATGTTTATAAATGATATCTTCTTTTTTTTTTCACTTTCAAAACCACGAAACATTCCAAATATCAAGGCTGGAAGCAATCCAGATAGAACCGTATTAATTGCATCATCCGCTGGATCATAAGGTGATGACATTTTTTGAATAATTCACAAATTAAATTAGTGTGAAAGAATTTTGTCATATTTATAATATTTTTTTTTTAATATTTTCTATATATTACGCAAACTCGCCAAATAGAGATCAGGCCACTCAAAAAAAAATCAAATGAATATGCACTCACTTCATTATATTTTCTATATATTAAATACTCCGAACTGTACGATGCCGATCCTACTGTGAACTATATAAATAAATTCACGTGATCATATAAACCCGCGCCCACAATCAGGGATAGGTATTTATTTTGAGCAATTTTCTGCATATCAGTGGATAAATAAACAACACGAGAAAAGATTGCGGATTTTGTTCATCCGTAATATCACGTGCTAATGCTAAGCCACCCTAATAATAATTATTTAAACAATTTTTTGTCTTAACATAATGTAAAATCAAATTTTTTTTTCATAATATAACAGGATGATATTAAAAAAAAACATGACGGTTATCTGTTATTCTCATAAATGAATAATGGCAACATAAAAATTTCGGTATTGAAAAAAAAAAGATTGAGCAATTAGAAAATAAATACTACATATAAAAATCAAAGGGACATTTAAAAATTTTTAAAACAACGTACTTTAATTACCTAATATTAATTGTTAAAAGTCAAACAAAATACAGATTTTTTTTTATTACGTCCCCATATTATATACTGAAATAATGATAAGAAACATGTAATTTTCCAAATTATCTCAAATTATCAAACGTTTATCAAAATTTGACCTATTTTCTTGTGAATTACATAATCTCGTCCTATTCTAAAATGGTCATAATCTTATTATGTATATATATACATATTTTTCCTAAAAATAAAAATATTGCCTACGCAAAAGGTCTTTCGGTCCAATCCTAATAATTGTTACCGAGTAATAAAATACACCGACTTTAAAAAACTCCGTGTGAAAATACTTTTTTATTAAGTTGCCTATTAAGGGATAAATCATCCAAATCATCCTTATCTTCTCACCCTGATTACATAAAAAATTACATCAATTTGCAGGACAAAAAATAAATGGGGTTATGGGGTATGTTGGCGCAGCGACATACATACAGCGTATAGGTAAACGCCATCAGCTATCTGCAGCCTATTTAAAACATAAATCTTTTAAGTAAATCCTATCTGCTATTTATTTATTTAAAACAAAGCAACTACTTTCATGATGTTTCCATTTAAATTTATCATTATGAAGAAATAAATTCTAAATTGTGAGCTTAAAAATAAACTTTTTATTATACTCTCTTAAATTTCAATCTCTTTCAAAATTTGATTTTTCTTTATTCCGCAAATCGTAAAAATAATTTTTTATCATTCTTATTCATGGAGATTACAGAATTTCATGTGTTCTCGATTGAGGAAAGAAAATTGTGATTCACAGAAAGATCATGGGTGCGGACGTCACACATTCCTGCCTCGGGCGAATTATATTTTGATTCATATAATGAAAATAAAAGCATAATATTGATACCTCTAATAATTATATTTTATTTAGTCATAAATTTCTGGCAATCTAATGTCAATTTTGGAATTGACAATAGAATTTTCAAGAACCCGTTGGTTAAGGAAGGATATCATATGGTATCTGCAGAAGCTTCCTTTTCATCTTGTTGCTTGACAGGATTTTCCAGCTCGATTGAAAAAAATTCACAAAAAGATCTACCGTCAACTTTGATATAATAGAATTTTTTAATCATATTATCACTATTGATCTCATAATTACTTATTGTACTATATTTACTTCACACTTGAATAGAAAGCAAAAATTCGGTGAATTCAATAAATTTCAAAATAAATTATAATTAATTAATTCGATCTCTTTTTCCCTGATGTATTGGTTTTCGTTTTACTTTCGACTAAAAAATGTTGTTGCCACCTTGTTTCTTCATAAACGGGTGTTGCATTGGTGTCAATATGTCCATTAGATATAATAGATTGTTCGAAATTTAACTTATCATAAATTTCTCGTATTTAATGTTCTTTGTTCAACTGTTTTTTTATGTACAAAATAGATATTCAAATGGATTATATATTAGAATTATATAGAAAATTTAATTTTTTTTTTTTAAAAAAAAATAAAACAAAATTATTTACCTTTCCTTTACTTATATAATCGTTCTTAATCATAAATTTCTCGTATTTGCTTTTGAAGTGACTTGTTTTATACAATCTACTTATTAAGTACGAAAAAGTAATTGAACAATGGTCATTGTATTAGATTTTATGGAAAAATTTTTCTTAAAATAAAAACAATAAATTATTACCTTTTCTTTATCAATCATTCTTAATATCGCTAATTCAGAACATTAAATAGTAACTTTTTTATAATTCTGGCCAAATAATCAATTTATGCTTGGTTTAATCGCCCCTGACCGGACTTGAGATAGAGGATTGTATGTCGTCGGGCTGGGTGCATAGCCGTTACGCGCCTATGCCTCGGCCAAGCGCCTCACAGGACCTATCTGGGTTTAAACCCTATCAAAAAAGCTTCTAATGCTCGCCTTGGCTCGCCAAGGTGTTCCTCGTTTCCTGTTCCCCCTTTTTCTTTTCAATTTCTTTTTTTTCATTACTTCCTCTAGGAACAGGGAACAGTAATATATAGAGTCCTCCCCACGTCTTGCGGAGTCAAAATCAGGTAAAAGTTTTGTTCCTAAGACTGATCCTAGCCCGATTTGATTGGGAAGACTATAAAAAAAATCATAAAAAAAAAAAATTAATAAATACGCAGATTTAACATCGCGTATAACGATATGACTACTCAGGATCCATATGAATTCATATCGTTACATCAAAATCATACCGATATTCAGACTTCATCCAATTGAACTTAAAAGCATAGAACATTATTAATATATTCTCTCATATAGTGGGAATCATCGCTATACACGTGTATCGTATCGAACATCGGACAGACTTTAATAACAATTCGTTGACAACAAAATCTAATTCGCGATGTTGATATGATGAACCATAAAGACTTGATCGTATTCCATCTAATAAATAATGAAATTTTTAATAATTTTAAATTAATTTCAAGCCATCACAATTTAAATTAAAAATTACAACAATAATGTACCTTCGCAAATAGGTTATATTTAAGAATTTTTTAGGTGATTAACTTCTTTACTAAAATTAAAGATACGTCGATTTGTAAATTTTACATTTTCACAAATCCCAAAATCTCCTATAACCTAGAATGCGTTAACAAGAATATAATGAGTTAACAGTTAAAGAATATTTTATCAAAAGATTATTTATTTATAACGTACCATTTCAATGATTTTGTTTTTTATAATCATTAACGTCATCTTCACCATCAACATTGATGATTTCCTTGATGTGCTTCGAATAATTTGAAAAAGATCTAAGAAAAAAAAACAATAAATTTTTTTAATGATTTATTACGATTAATTTTTCTCTTCATAAAATTAAAAATTTAAGATGATACCTGAAAGAATAAAAATTCAAATTTTTTACTTTATAAAAAATTATTGATGATAATCTTCCAAAGTTTAAAATTATATTATCATGATTAATTCATGAAATTAAACAAAAAAATAAATGGGGATTTGATATGGGATTTGGTATTATTGATCCATTTTTTTTTAATAAATAAATTTATTTGTTTTAATAATATTTTATATTAATGAAATTAAAAGAAAGAAGCGTGTAGGAAAAACAAAAACAAATGGATATTTGATTTTGTTTGATCCGATTCTTCGTTGTAAATTTCCTTTGATATTAATTAAGGTCGTTTAGTTATCTCTAACCTTGCGCCATCGATATTTAATGTAATACGCCAACCAGCTTGTTATATCCTTAATAAAGGGAAACTATAAACTATGTATAAATATAAATATTAGTCAAATAAAAATGTTTAAAATAAGGCAATTAACAGTTAATTTGTTAAACATACCTGGTCTTTCTAATGCTTTAACAAAATACATTAACAATTAAACGACATTAAACGTATCGTTTTATTCGTGGGTACTTTAGAATCTCTGTGCTTTTCACGACTGACTACCATATTATAACAAGCTTACACCCAAAATCTTTTATTGAAAAAAAAGTAATTTATTAATATTATACAACAAATAAAAAAAATAATACCAATAATAACAATAAATAAATAATTTACTAACTTTGTGTTCGCTGATTAAGCAGCGTCTATAAAAATTTAAAAGTGTTAAATAAACATAACTTTGAAATAATAATAATTTTAAAACAAATTGTCTTACGTGAATATACTCTACATACATTTTTTTATTAAAAAAACAAACAGTGTAAGACACATTATAATACTTATCACTAGGGAAATGGAAACCGCGTCGCGAGTGAAAAAAGGGGGAAATGATCTGACAATCTAACAAGGTATGATATTTTAAAAATAATATCGAACTATCAAACGGTTACATTGCATGACCGAGAAAGGAAGAAGCAGGGGCGAGAAAATTACAGGGGATAAAAAAATTTTCTTCTCCCCGGATAAAACATAAAGTAATTTGGGTTGGTTGCGTTGTCGTTGCAACCATATGGCCATAGTTTTTGACTTTTACTCAAGTTTTAAACTTTTTTTATTTGTTATTAAGAGAATATATATGAAAAGTTTATTTTAATAAAACATAATCGGGAATTTTATAAGACAAAAAATTGATATGCAAGAAGAGGAATTTAAGTTAGATACGAATTTATTAAAAGGTTAATTTCTGTAGCACAATGTAGGATGGTAATCAATGATTAATTAGGAGATATTTAAAGTTTGATTTTATATCAGATATAACTATTCATTTTGGTAAATCATGAATTAAAAAATCATCGCGTGTTTAAAAACCGTTTAATATAATTCATTTAATGGATCCAATGGATCCATATCATTTCACCAAAGAAATTGATTGATTTATATGTTTTTGTATAAGTTTATTGGTTTTACTAAATATCATTGTCAGAGCTCTGTTTTTTCGAATCCCTCTTTTTTACCTTTTGAGAACCAAAAATTCTATTTTTGTAGAAAAAATTTAAACTTGTTGAATGGAATCAAATTAGATGATAGGCATTATTTTATTTATTTATACCAATTTTGATAAGTCTCGTGAAGTTAATTTATAATTTGATTGGTAAATGGAAACAATCAAATCCTAAAAAACCTGGAAATTTTATTACCTGATACGACTTGCTTTTTGCATACAATGTATATATATAATAAATGTACAAGTACTTGTACTGTATATAATACAATATTATATTATATATAAAATATTATATATATTTGTATATTTATTTATTTATTTACTTTTTTATTTATTTATTTACATGATTGATATTTTACATTATTTTTATAAATTGGATCTAAACCAGTTTGCAATCAAATCAATTATAAAAAATATACTATAACTATAACTGATAATTACTAATTACTATAATTATATAACAAGTTCAGAAAAAGTAATTAACAATAAAGTTAGTTTAATATTTTAAACGTAATTTTTATTATTATTATTGTTATCATCTTTTTAGAAAAAAATTGCTAAAAACGTCAAACAACATTGAATTTTTGCATAATTTCCTTATTTGCTAATTATACCGAATTTTTTTAAAAATCAATTTTAATCAATTTTATCAATTTATAGTAAGAAATCCCCGAGCCACAATTCTTTTTTTGTTGGGACATTTCAAAAAATTTTTAACTTTGACCATTTTTTTTCGAGAAAACATTTTTTTTTTTTTTTCAAGATCAAAAATTTAGAAAAAAATTAAAATGGGGTCGGATACCCGTACTCGAATATTATAGTTAGATTATAATATTTTTTGGGGTAAAGAATTTTTTGAATTTTTTTTTTTTTTTTGGCTGAAATGTTAAAATTCTAATTCTAAGCTGGAATTGAATATCGTCATTTTTTTTTTTTTAAGTAATTTTTTAGAACAAAATCGAAACTTTTATTTTTGTAAACGATTAAAAACTATATAATGTAAAATACGTAAAATTATCCGAAACGCCATAAATAGTCTAAAAAAAAATATATTTTTTTGACGTTTTTTTAATTCTTTAAACTATAAAAAAAAATACATTATTCCAAAATAAATCAATTCAATAAATTTACCGTATAATTTTTTTTAAAAATCGGTAAAATTTTATCATAAAACATAAGAAAAAAAAAAATATTGAAGAAAAAATCATTCCAAAACAAGTTTAAGATAATCTTAACCGTTTTTGGTTAAAATAATTTATTTTTGTTATTTTGATTATATCATATATTTATTGATCACATGCCTGAAAATAAACCGGGACGAGTATCAAAAAGAATGAATTCAAAAATAATAAGTCTGTTAGGGGTTTAGTTTCTAAGATAACATTTTTGACCTTTGGATATAGTATCTTATTATCTCTATTTTAGGAAGTTTGCATCATTTCATAATAAAGATTTTAAATTTTTTTGCGCCTAATCGTAAAGCTTCACATATTCTCATTCCGTGATGTCGCGATATCACGTGATATCAAATTATAATCTATCTCTTCTATAGTTAAGTTTTAATTATCTTGTCTATTTCAAGATTCATTTATGAACGCGGGAATCTGGGGGGAATTTTTTTTTCTTTTTGCATCATCAAAAAAAAAAAAACAATTAAAAAAAGCAAGAAAAGATACAGGAACCCGTTCCGGATTTTTGATGGCGGGAAGCGTAAATATTATCCCAATTTGGGAATAATTTCAATATTCTCGCGTTTCCTAGTTTCTTAACTAAATTGAAAGTGTTTAAACATTTGATTGGAGCTAAAAATTTTAACTAAAATTACGAAAATTATGGAATCATTTGCCCCATGAAACTTTCGCCTTTAGGTCATTTGATTCATCATGTTCGTATCATGATTATATTAAAAAAATTGATTTTTCTTCTAAAGGTTTAAAGAGTATTCTCACACCAAAAGATATAATTTTTTTTTTCCATCTTTAGAAATTTTGAATGAGAAAAAAAAAATATGTAATCATAAATTTTTTTAGCGTAAAAATTAGCGTAAAAAAATTGATAAGAAAAAAAAATATTATTTTTATTACAAATAATTAAAATTCTATTATAGCGTTATAGCGTAGTTACCAGTTATTAGAATAAATACCATTTAAAAAAATATCGGGAATATCTTTTTTTTTGTATGCAATATACAAATACAATTTAAGAATGCTATTCGGAAAAATCAATAAAATTAATTATTCACCATTTAAAGATGTAATTTTCGCTTTTACTTCAGATGGATACATTTTTAAAAAAAGAAATGAGGAACGCCAATTTTGAAAATCCTTTCCTTTTCACTTTTTGAAAAAAAAAATCTCACCAAATAATATTTGATATTTTTCAAATGAACCCTTAATAAACAATATTTAGTTTAGTGAATGAAAATGATGTAATTTGTACATCTGTGCACAAAAATTTTTTTTCTCTTCGAAAAAATTACAGTAAAAAAATTGATTTAAAAATGAATAAAAATGAAATGAGGTAAATTCCCTTACACAACATTTACAAATCACGTAATAATTCCTCCTCTTTATGATATAATCTAATATCTTGTGTAAGAGAGATTCTTTGAGATCTAATAATACATAATACACATATATATATTATATGTACGATACTGTATGTAGTGATATGTATGATATGTAGTAATATGCAGTGATATGTTGTAGTATGCAAGATAAACAATAGAAAGAATAAGTAGTCATATCTCCGTAATTAAATATCGAATAATAAACATTATATTTTTAGGGCGTATATAATATATACTGTATTTTTTTTATATTAAGTTGTTCTCAAATTTATGTCATAATATAAATAAAAAATTTTTGGATAATATTTTTTTTTTTCTCTCATTCTAAATTTTTCTTTAGCGATCATTCGGTAGAAAAATTACAGTAACTAGCTAAAAAATCATTGTTATTTGGTAAAGAAGAATTACATAATTCGTTTCATAAATAAGGTTAATACAACGAGTGTAAATGACGATTTGTCGATTCGTAAATCATAGTCGCTAATTTAAATCGAGTTTTGAAATAGAGCATTTTATTAATTTTATTTGGGATGTTAATGAAAAAAAAAAAAAAATCGTTAAAAAACTTTTTTATCCCCGATAAAAAATTTACGCAAAAAGATAAATAAGGAGATTTACTTTTACAAATTCTATGATTGGAATGGTGTAAGGATGCACTGATCAAGGAGTTAATAACTATCGAGAATTCAATATTATAAATATTATAAAAAATATATAATCTCTTATTAACTTTATTAAGATTAGTGTTATATAATAAGTGTGGTACAGATTTGACATAATGTACGTAAAAAAAAAAAATTACCTTTCGTTTTTTTTTTCTTTTTTTTTTTTTCACCGGCTTCTACTTCAGCATCAGACATTTGATACATGAATGAATTAGAGGTACGGATTATCCATAGATCATTGGATATCCGATGAATATTGATTTTTCCATTATTTTTCCATTATTTCTCCATTATTTCTCCTCTTTAGAATAAACAATAACCATGGCGGCAATAATGGCAGCGTTTGCGGCTTCAACGCCTTTACCATCAGATTACCTTAAATCAGATTCTAGAATGTTTTTTTCATATCATCCAGAAAATACTTCATTTCAAAAAGGTTATTTAGGTATAGGAGTAACAACAATATCTGGTACTCTTCATATAAGATTTCCACATGCAGTTGCTGCTAAATTTATCACATTAAATTTTATTGGAAGGGAAACTGTTGAGTGGGTCGATCTAAAAAAAATTCGGGCGGAAAGAATTATTATAGATAAATCATATAAATTATGGGAATCTTCAACTGAATTAGGTCATGAATTAATAACGGATTTAGATTTACCTTTTGATTTTGAAATTCCTGAAGATGCTATTGGTTCATTTCAATCTCAATTCGGAAAAGTACAATACACTTTGAGAGCTACAATTTATCGTAAACCAAGAAGAAAGAAACATTCAATCGAAGTTTTGGTCCCATTATCGAGGTGGACTATTCCAACTGATCAAGAAATAAGGCCTTTGGTAATAAAATCCCATGCTAGACATCGTAAGGTACCTATATCTTGGCAAGCTGTCTTACCTCAAACATTTTTTGACGTCAATAGTGAAGCTTTGATAAAGTTAAAATTAACTTCTCAGAAACCTGATCTACGTGTACGGAAAATTAGTACATGTTTAAAAACCTTTGTTCAATATTTCGTGGACGGTCGACCTGAAGAACGTCAAAGATTACATTCAAAACATGTTATAACTGGTAATGATGTTATGATGACTCCTGTGGGTACTAATACAACATTTGAGGCAAATACTATGATAAGGATTCCTTCGAATGTACCTCCTACCGGTAAAACAAAATATATGTCAATCAGAAATCAAATTCAAATTAAAGTCACTTTTGAACGGTCACGTCATAATGTGATGATTACGAGAGAAATAATCGTAGGAAGAAATTTCTTGAATGATAGTTCCGCGGCGGATATGAGAGATTCTATGGATTACTTTTCTGATTCCGAATTTAAATAAATAATTAGAATTATCGTTTTTTAATAACGAACGAGAGAAATTAATAGAGAAAATAGAAAATATTATAATATTGGCGGTGAAATATATTATTTTTTTTTTTTTGCCAGTTTTTACTCTGGGTTTAATTTTCCCTAGTTTTCCTCAGTTTTTTCCCTAATTTTTTTAGTTTTTCCTTGTCTTTTTCCTAATATTCTTAATATTTATTTTAATAATTATCAAGTTTTTCCTTTTTATTTTTGGAAAGGAAAAACTAAATTATGGTTTAAACCACATAAGATTCTAATATAATATTTATTAATTTAATCCTTTTAAGGGTATGCTTTTTAGTATTTTATGCTTTTTAATTTTTTATTTATTTTTTTTTATTTTATATTGTATATTTATATCCCATGTATTTTTATCCCATATATTTTTATCTCATATTAATTTTTTAATCAAGTCGGGCAAGGGAAAAAAAAATTAATTAGGGAATTTTCGCGCTCTTCTTTTGTTACCATTATTTTTTACCGTCAAAATCTTAATTTTCAATGTTATTAGTTTTTTCTCAAATAAGTCATTTCAAATGTCATCATCAAAACATCATTCACGATTTACTTACAAAAAAAAATTTTCATAAATAAAAAAAAATGTAATATTTTTTTTCTTTCGTAGAAACTTTTTTTCTATTTCTTTAAAAATTGTATATATAAATAAAAAAAATGTAATATTTTTTTTTTTCGTAGAAACTTTTTTTTTCTATTTCTTTAAAAACTGTATATTGTTTTATTAAAAATGAAATAATAATAAAAAATAAATAAATAAATAAAGAAAAATGTAATATTTTTTTTTCGTAATTCGTAGAAACTTCTTTTCTTTTCTTTTTCTTTCTTTAAAAAATTGATTAAAATGAAAAAAAATTTTTTTCTTAGAAACTTCTGCGCCTCGTAATTTCGTTAAGAAGATTTTTTTATTTTTTCTCGTTCTTTCTCGCGTTCATCATATTTTCGGCCACAACATATAATACATTGTTCCGAAAAATTGTGAAACCAAAAAATTGAGAACCAAAAATCGTGAAACCCAAAAATCGTGAAACCAAGAATTGTGAAACCAAGAATTGTGAAACCAAAATTCGTTCTAAACCCTTTGCTGATATGATTACAATAAACAACAGATAATGAGTAACAAAAAAGTCAAGAAAATTGAACGCCCAAATTTGCCTCAAACATATTGGCTGACATACCCCAAAAAAATTAATTTAAGGAATATTATGAAAGAAAAAAATTTTTTTAATCTTTTTTTAATTTTTTCCATACATGGAAAAATTATGTTGTAATTTATACGTGATCCTCGGTTTAAATCACCTCCCCTAAAAATTTATATTTTACATGATTTTTTGTCAATCATTTTTTTCAAAAAAATCATTTCACTTTACATAGATTTTATTTATTTGGACATTTATAGAGCATAATTACATTTTTGACAATGTCTCTTACGTTTTTGATTGTGACCATAATTTACATTTCACTCAGGTTAAATCACCCCGGGTTAAAATAATTTTATAGAAATATACGTATAATAGTATATAAAAAAAAAATTTCAAATCAATGACTATATTTATATTATCTCTATTATTATAATTAATTATTATAATTAAGAAACTTACAAATATAAAAATTCGTTATTTGACAATAAAATTTAAATGACTATGTGATTGTTTAATATTACTGTGTTAGGATTTGATTTGATATGAATACAGTATACACATATTCGGTAGAAGTATAATCAAATAAAATTCTTCCAACTTTTAATCCTGAATTTTTTTAATAAAATGAAAATACAACACATGAAATTTTTATGATACTATGTTACACTGATGATACATGCATACGGTATACGGCTAAATTCAATCTCATTTAAATTTCCGGATTTGATATAATGATTGATTACAATGATTTTATGATTTTCATTAAGGAATATTTTACAATGAATAACGTAAATAGATTACGTGTCACATTTTCTATTTTATCAAAAAAAAAAAAAAAAAAAAAAAAAAATAGATCGGTTCTAAAGTTTCTTGTCGTGTTGATAATTATTTTGAATTTATATATTTGTTATGTTTTTTTTTAATTAGCGTATTTTTATTTTTTCAAGAACAAGAAATAAACGGCTTCTTAACGAAATGTTATACTTGTAATTAATCAATTTATGTATTATTAAAATTAATAAAGCGAAAATAAAATGTATAAATTTAAGCTATCTTTTATTTGATGTGTAATGTGCTTCGAGAATATACGTTCTTTTTTTTTATTAAATTCTTAAATAACAAATACTGTAGGTTAATAATAATAACTAAATAAAATAAACTGTTGCATTCGTTTTTAAAGATACAATAGAAGCCCAATTCATAAAGCAAGGGTAGTCTATACATGGTATTAACTTATTTGCGATATTACGCACACCTTCATTTTTAGTATTCTAAATGCAGCATTATTGTAATGTTTGTTATGTAACATATGCGAGAAGCAATCCATGCTTATTAAAACAATGATTTTCACATATTGTGCATGAAAATATACGCGTAAAATAATTTGCTAAGCCATAACGTCACATTCATATTGTTATGCATTATTATGCAGAATTGCGCATACAACGAAGTTATAAATAAAATTTTTGATCGAAAAAAAATCTTTTGGGCTTTTGAAAAAAATGTCTTCTGAAAATAAAGTTATTGAATATTCACAATATTCAAAATATTCAAAATCCGGATTTGTAACTTATACTAGCGGAAATAAAAAAATTGATAATTTCATTCAAGAAAGGCAATTAAAAATTAAAGACCATGATGATGTAGTATTTGAATGGATACCATATAATCAGTTTGATCAAGTTAAAAAAATATGCAAAAATAGCTTTGTGGCAGTATATTCAGCAATATGGGGGGATGGTCCATTATACTATCAGCATGACAAGTATATAAGAGATTCAAATAAAGAAGTTACATTAAAATTTTTGAATGATTCACAAATTTTCACGGAATTTGTAATATATGAGGTATAAATATTCTAAATGCTATTAATACTTTTTTTTTTTTAACATAATTTATTTATCTTTTCTGTTTATGTTTTAGGCTAAAAAATATTCAACAAAAAACAATAAGTTTTTTGTATTGTATGGAATATCTCAAAATCCAGATACAAATGATTATATTTTGGTTCAAAATAATTATATAAACTTTACAAATTGGAAAAGTGGAAATGAGAAAATAGATGATTATATTCAAAAAAGGCGATTAGAAATTAAGGGCAATAATGATGTAGTATTTGAATGGATACCATACAATCAATTTGATCAAATTAAAGAAGAAGGTAAAAGTGATTTTATGACAGTATATTCAGCAATATGGAGAGATGGTCCATTATTTTACAAGTTGTTTGATGATGATGTTGTTGTTATTAATTATACAAGAGATTCAAATAAAGAAGTTGCATTAAAATTTTTGCATAATTCACTAAATTCCATAGAATATGTAATAAATGAGGTATAAATTTTTATAAGTGTTATTAATATTTCTTTTTAATATAATACATTTATTGATTTTGTTTATATTTAGGTTAAAAAATATTCAACAAAAAATGATGAGTTTCTTGTATTGTATGGAATATCTCAAAATCCAGATACAAATGATTATATTTTGGTTCAAAATAATTATATAAACTTTACAAATTGGAAAAGTGGAAATGAGAAAATAGATGATTATATTCAAAAAAGGCGATTAGAAATTAAGGGCAATAATGATGTAGTATTTGAATGGATACCATACAATCAATTTGATCAAATTAAAGAAGAAGGTAAAAGTGATTTTATGACAGTATATTCAGCAATATGGAGAGATGGTCCATTATTTTACAAGTTGTTTGATGATGATGTTGTTGTTATTAATTATACAAGAGATTCAAATAAAGAAGTTGCATTAAAATTTTTGCATAATTCACTAAATTCCATAGAATATGTAATAAATGAGGTATAAATTTTTATAAGTGTTATTAATATTTCTTTTTAATATAATACATTTATTGATTTTGTTTATATTTAGGTTAAAAAATATTCAACAAAAAATGATGAGTTTCTTGTATTGTATGGAATATCTCA